AGTACCCTTACCTTCACTGGCCACTGAAGTACATTCATCCTGAAGAACAGAGAAGTGATTTCCTACCTTCAGATCTTCACTCTTAACTTTCCTTACTCTGATGCGCCTCCCATTACTGTGAACCACTCGCCACTTGTAGCAGGTGCTGGGCTGCACCTCACTGCTGGTAGCCGTTGCTACCTCCCCAACTACAGCCTCCTCACAGCGAGAGACAGACTGCACCTCCCTGCTAGAAGCCTCATTCCCCACAACTCCAGCCACCTCACACTCTCTCCCAGACCCATTGAGGTGGACCTTCAGCCTCCTAATCTCCTCCTGGAGAAGCAAGACCTTCTCCTTCAACTCTCCAACCTCAATTTTTAAAACACTGCAGAAGCAAGCCATGCTTTGTAACCGTCCACGCTAATCCCCAAAGCAGCTCAGGGTCTGTGACCTCACGTGACGACTGACCACTGACCACTGACATAAGACTATATACACACTCTAGAGAACACTTTCATGTATCTCGTATCCTAAACGCCCACATAGTGGGCACAAGAAGCAGGCGGCTGGCGGTCCAGTCACCATAACACTGGGCCTAGTCAGCGCCAGGTCATCACTACTCCAATACCAACCCCATTTCTTATTTCCTCACTCATCCCACGGCACTCTGACCATGTCAGAGCCTAGGTGAGCATACCGGCAAGCAATAGAGGAGCCTACAGCTTGAGTTAGCTAAACAAAAGGAGTACACAACTACAAACTTAGCTTAATACACAGCATCTCCGACGCCAGCCTCCACACCATGCTGACTCCACGTGACTCCCAGCCACGCTTACCACGCGTACCCAAACACAGTTGGAAAATAAATCCCTAGCAGGATTTCTTTATAATTTACATTAGAACTACTTCACAGTACCCCAAATGCACATTATGAATTATAAAATTATGCTTTACAATTATAACATTCATACTATTATGACATCCTTCCTACTGTATATACATTACAATGTCATGCAGAACCCTGCATAACAGTGTGTGTGTGTGTGTTTGTGTGTGTGTGTGTGTGTGTGTGTGTGTGTGTGTGTGTGTGTGTGTGTGTGTGTGTGTGGTGTGTGTGTGTGTGTGTGTGTGTGCGTGTGTGTGTGTGGTGTGTGTGTGTGTGTGTGTGTGTGTGTGTGTGTGTGTGGTGTGTGTGAGTGAGTGTGTGTGTATGTGTGTGTGTGTGTATTTTTGTGCTGAAGGAGCACAAAAGTAGTGTTAAGCTTGCCGACACCGACAATGCTCTTTTATGTCATGTCAGAGATCACAATCATCCTATTGAATGGTCTTCTGCTAAAACTGTTTACTCTACTTCTAACTTTCACCCATTAGTTGTACCCTCTCTTATACACAACTTTCCTTGTATGAATCTTAGTCCTGGCTTTGTCTCTGTAGATGCCTTTCTTTCCTATTACACTGTAAAATGTTCCAAACTTTGGAACACCTATGACTTAACCTGAATTTTTTTTCTCGTTCTCCGTCTTTCCCTGCCCTTTTCCCTCTTTCTTCTTCAGGCTTTCCTTTCTTCTGCCATGGGTGTTTTGTTCTTTGTATTCCCCCCATTGTGTATTTGTTCCTACCCTTTGTGGGACTCCTAGATCACCTACAGTGCTCCTCTTTCTTGGTCTGTAACTGACTCCACTACTACTACTATTATTACTACTACTACTACTACTACTACTACTACTACTACCACCACTAGTTCTCTTCTTCCTATCCTACTACGTCTCTTGTCTCGTCCCTGTCTGCTAACCTTTATATACTGCCTCCTTCTCTCCTTTCTGTTAGTGTGACTTTGTAAATTTGCAGGATATTTGCGTATAATTACAATAATTTGCTTCTCAGTGGCAAGTAATAAGTTAACTTTAAGGTTTAGAGTGAGTAAGGATAATTTTTCAAATCAATTTGATCTAGTCTTATCCATATTCCCCCACACGCCACTGTGGGGGCTTGATAGTCTTAATTTTAGTATGGGTCACTCAGTTATTCGATTATAATATAACTTACTTCATGCTCTATAATAATTTGACTTTCATACAATCTGTCTTCATACTTTAAATTCAATAACAAATGATAACGAGAATAAACAAATAACCTATAAATAGGAGAGAGGAGCTTACGACGAAGTGTCCGTTCCATTACAACCATCTACGAAGTCACACTAACACTGTGGACCCCGCAGATAAGCGTCTTGGTTTTTCCAACATTTTTATTGGTCTTCATTCTTTTAAATCCGTCTTTCATTCTTATGAGACTGCTCTTATTGCTTCTAGGCGTCGTAAGAATCAGGTTCCCTTTCTAAGTGATTGTAATGCTGAGGAAGTTTTGCCTCCTTCCTTCTCCCATTTCATGAAGCCCAATTCATTGGGCACTCCCTTTCCTGATCATACCCGTCTCCTACTTCAACAGCTCATTTTCTCTACTAAGTTTCAGGTTGAATTTTTTTTATTATTATTATTAACACATCAGACGATTCCCACCAAGGCAGGGCGGCCCGAGAAAAAATAACTTTCATCATCATTCACTCCATCACTGTCTTGCCAGAGGTGTGCTTTACACTAGAGTTAAAAACTGCAACACTGTACTTTCCATCTTCAGGACTCAAGTCCGGCCTACCTGTTTCTATGAATCCCTTCATAAATGTTACCTTGTTCACACTCCAATAGCACATCAAGTATTAAAAACAATTTGCCTCCCTTCACTGCTACCAAAAATGCTCATGCATGCCTACTGGAAGTTCAAGCCCTTCGCACACAAAACCCTCCTTTACCCCCTCTCTCCAAACTTTCCTATTCTCTACATTATATTCACACCACACATTGCCCTCAGACATGACATTTCCACTGCCTCCAGCCTTCTCCTCGCTGCAACATTCATCTCTCTTGCTTCACACCCATATAGGAGTGTTGGTATAACTATACTCTCATACATTCCCCTCTTTTCTTCCACGGACAAAGTTCTTTGTCTCCAAAGACTCCTAAGTGCATCGCTCACCCTTTTCCCCACATCAGTTCTATGATTCACCTCGTCCTTCATAGACCCATCTGCTGACAAGTCCATTCCTAAATATATGAATATATTCACCTCCTCCATAATCCCTCCCTCCAATCTGATATCCAATCTTTCGACACCTAATGCTTCTGTTATCCTCATCAACTTGCTCTTTCTTACATACACTTTCAACTTAATTTTCTTCTTCTACATACCCTACCAAATTCATCCACCAACCTCTGCAACTTCTCTTCAGACTTTCCAAAAAAGCAGTGTCATCAGCAAAGAGCAACTGTGACAACTCCCACTTTGTGTTTCATTCTTTATCTTTTAACTTCACACTCTTGCTAAGACCCTCGCATTCACTTCTCTTATCCCTATCTATAAATATATTGAACAAACACGGTGACATCACACATCCTTGTGTAAGGCCTATTTTTACTGGAAATAGTCTCCCTGTCTCCTACATACTCTAACCTGAGCCTCACTATCCTCGTAAAAACTCTTCACTGCTTTCAGTAACCTATCTCCTATACTATACACTTGCAATATCTGCCACAATACTCCTCTATCTAGCCTGTCATATGCCTTTTCCAAATCCATAAATGCCACAAAAACTTCTTTAGCCTTATCCAAATATTGTTAACCTATATGTTTCACTGTAAACACTTGGTCTACACACCCCCTACCTTTTCTAAAGCCTCCTTGTTCATCTGCTGTCCTACTCTCTGTCTTACTCTTAATTCTTTCAATAATAACTCTACCATACACTTTACCAGGTATACTCAACAGACTAATTCTCCTGTAATTTTTTGCACTCTCTTTTATCCCCTTTGCCTTCATGCAAAGGAAATATGCATGATCTCTTCCAATCACTAGAGACTTTACCCTCTTCCATATATTTATTTAATAATAGCACAAACCACACGAAAACTATATAAGAACATTAGAACATAAGAGAGAAGTAACACTGCAACAAGCCTACTAATCCATGCAGAGCAAGTCCATGTTCTCCCCGGATTAGCCCAATGACCCACCTGGTCAGGTCACTTCCACTTAAGGAAAGAGCACGGCATCAGACCTAGTAGCACAAGTTAGTCAGGTCCAACTTACACCAACCCATATCCACTCATGTATTTTTCTAACCTATTTTTAAAACTACATAACGTCTTAGCATCTTTGACAGTACTTTGGAGTTTGTTCCACTCATCCACAACTCTATTACCAAACCAGTGCTTTCCTATATCCTTCCTCTATCTGAATATTTCCAACTTGAAACCATTGCTACGATTCCTGTTCTGGCTGGAAATTTTCACCACGTTATTTACATCCCCTTTATTTATTCCTGTTTTCCATTTATACACCTCAATCATATCCCCCTAATTATACGCCTTTCGAGGGAGTGCAAATTCAGTGCCCTCAGTCTATCCTCAAAAGGAAGATTTCTGATACATAGGATCAAAGTTTTCATCCTTCTCTGTACATTTTCCAGAGCAATTGTATCCATTCTGTAATACGGTGACCAGAACTGTGTAGTATAATCTAAATGAGGCCTAACCAAGGATATATAGAGTTGAAGAACAACCTGAGGACTTCTATTATTTATACTTCTAGATAGAAAGCCAAGGATTCTGTTAGCTTTATTGCAAACACTAATGCACTTTTGTCTTCGTTTTATATTATTGCTAACCAGAACTCCTAAATTCTTTTTGTAATCAGTAGTATTAAGATCTACATTATTTAGTTTATATGTCGTATGGTTATTTTCCTGTCCAACATTTAGAATTTTGTAATTGTCTATCTGCCACATCTCCGACCATTGCATCAATCTATTCAGATCATCCTGGAGTGTTCTAGTGTCTTCATTAGAACGAACTGGATGGCCTATTTTGGTGTCATCAGTAAATTTGTGTATAATTATCATTACATTACAGCTGAGGATTGTGTGAAGATGCTTCTTAATAATGATAATTATCATTACATTACAGCTGAGGATTGTGTGAAGATGCTTCTTAATAACGCTGGTGTTGACCTTAACTCTAGGAATGATCAAGGTCAGACACCATTACATTATGCTGCCTTGATTAACCACACTGGAATTATGGAACTGTTATTACATGATGAACGTTGTGATCACAATGCAGAAGACAATGATCATAATACTGCATTTCACTATGCAGCCAGAGCTGAAGGTATTCTCACTAATAATATATTTTTCTTAATGTAAATTTTACCAACCATATTTTTAATGTGTTAAAATTTATATGTATTCCATGTGTAATAAGTAGACAAATGAACAGAGAAATTAACTTAATGGAGAATCTGATATGTAATGAGTTCCCTGATAATTTGTTGACCACATCAGAAATCTTGGTGATGTGGGTCTAGTGTTATTTAATTATTACTAACACATAATGAATGAACAATAATAATCTGATAAGGATATGGAGAATAATTTAGAAAAAAAATCAACATTCATTTCTTGACGATTTTTGGGTCAGTTTGTGGTGTTGATTCCGAATATGTCATCGGTGGCCCGAAAAAGACAAACTTTCACCATCATTCACTCCATCACTGTCTTGTCAGAGGTATGCTTTATACTACAGTTATAAAACTGCAATTTTAACACCCCTCCTTCAGAGTGCAGACACTTCCCATCTCCAGGACTCAAGTCCTGCCTGCCAGTCTCCCTGAATCCTTTCATGAATGTTACTTTGCTCACACTCCAACAGCACGTCAAGTATTAAAAACCATTTGTCTCCATTCACTCCTATCAAATGTGCTCACTCATGCTTGCTGGAAGTCCAAACCCCCTCGCACACAAAACCTCCTTTACCCCCTCCCTCCAACCTTTCCTAGGCCGACCCCTACCCCGCCTTCCCTCCACTACACATTTATACACTCTCGAAGTCATGCTGTTTTGTTTCAATTCTCTCTACATGTCCGAACCACATCAACAACCCTTCCTCAGCCCTCTGGATAATAGTTTTGGTAATCCCGCACCTCCTCCTAGCTTCCAAACCACGAATTCTCTGCATTATATTTGCACCACACATTGCCCTCAGACATGACATCTCCACTGCCTCCAGCCTTCTCCTCGCTGCAACATTTATCACCCATGCTTCACACCCATATAAGAGTGCTGGCACAACTATACACACATACATTCACGTCTTTGCTTCCATGGACAAAGTTCTTTGTCTCCATAGACTCCTAAGTGTACCACTCATCCTTTTCCCCTCATCAATTCTATGATTCACCTCATCTTCATAGACCAATCTGCTGACACGTCCACTCCTAAATATCTGAACACATTCACCTCCTCCATACTCTCTCCCTCCAATCTGATATCCAATCTTTCGGCGCCTAATCTTTCTGTTATCCTCATAACCTTACTCTTTCCTATATTCACTTTTAATTTTCTTCTTTTACATACCCTACCAAATTCATCCACCGACCTCTGCAACTTCTCTTCAGAATCTCCCTAAAGCACTGTGTCATCAGCAAAGAGCAACTGTGACAACTCCCACTTTGTGTTTGATTCTATATCTTTTAACTCCACACCTCTTGCCAAGACCCTCGCATTCACCTCTCTTTACCCCATGTATAAATATATTAAATAACCACTGTGACAACACACATCATTGTCTAAGGCCTACTTTTACTGGGAAATAATCTCCCTCTCTCCTACATACTCTAACCTGAACCTCAATATCCTCGTAAAAACTCTTCACTGCTTTCAGTAACCTACCTCCTGTACCATACATCTGCAACATCTGCCATATTGCCCCCTATCCACCCTGTCATATGCCTTTTCAAATCCATAAATGCCACAAAAACCTCTTTAGCCATATCTAAATACTGCTCACATGTATGTTTCACTGTAAACACTTGGTCTACACCCCCTACCTTTCCTAAAACCTCCTTGTTTATCTGCTATCCTATTCTCCGTCTTACTCTTAATCCTTTCAATAATAACTCTACCATTCACTTTACCATGTATTCTCAACAGACTTATTCCCCTATAATTTTTACACTTCCTTTTGTCCCCTTTGCCTTTATATAAAGGAACTATACATGTTCTCTACCTATACCTAGGTACCTTACCCTCTTCCATACATTTATTAAATAATTGCAGCAACCCCAACCACTCCAAAACTATATTCCCTATATTTCTATCTTTTTCCGGTCAATCCCAGCTGCCTTACTCTCTTTCATTCTACCCACTGCTTCACGAACTTCCCCCAGTGGGTAGAATGAAAGGGGATAAGGCAGCTGGGATTGACAGGAAAAAGATAGAAATGTTAAAAGCAGGTGGGGATATAACAACTTTAAATTATGTTAACCCACAGTATCTCCCAAAACAATTTAAGTTTTAAACAATTCACTGTTTTAAAGTAATTCAGTTGCATATTTTATTCAAAATAAATAATTCAAATATAATTAATTACAAGAACAATAAAATGTAATGAGACGCACATTTCTCATCATAAAATAGGAAACTTCTCATCCTGATATCAGTGACCATCAAAGGAAGACAAGTGTTTGCTGTTATATATTTTACTATTAAATTCTGGTCTTCTCCCTCAGAGGTAAGGTGGCAAAAGAAGACTCTTTTTTTTACTGTCGCTCTATCACTGTCTTGGTCAGAAGTGGGTTGACATTATCGTTCTGATGATCCTTCGAAATGGTACATAACAAGGGTTCAAGTCCTGATATCCAGTTTCCTTAGATTCCCTCATAAATGTTACATTGCTCACACTCCAACAGCACCTGAAATCATAAAAAAAAACTTTTCCTTTCATTCCTATGTAACACTCTCGTTAAGGTCTGCTGAATGTCCATTCATAGCCTTCTATAGTCCCTTCCTTTCATGTATTTCCAGTTTCTCCTTTCCTCCACTCCTAATTCATATGCCTACCTACCCATCCAGCTTTACTTTTCTATATGTCCAAAATACCTCAACAACTTTTCCTCAGTCCTCGGAATAATAATTTTTGTGACTCCATGCATCCCTTTTTAATCTGCAACATCTGAATTATTTGCATAATACTCACAATAAATGTTGCCTTCAAAGAGAGATCTCTACTGTCTCCAATCTTCTCCTCACTGCAATATTCGAAACCTATGCATCACATCCTTAAAACAGTGTTGGTAACACTATATTCTGGTACATTCCCTTTGTTGCTTACCCGGGTAAAGTTCCTTGCCCAAAGATAATCAAGCACCCCCACCTTCCCTTCGTTAATTCTATGGCTCACCTAATTCTATAGAAACCCACGATCCTATTCAACTTCCTCCCCCAAATCAAAATCAAATTTTTTTATATAAAATTTCCCTGCTTATATATAATTTTTCTTTTTTTACATACCGTTTCAAATCGTTTACTCCCATCGCAATTTTCTTCAAAAACCCTAAAAGGAACCAAGTATCGGTAAAATTAACTGTGACAGCTTCCCTCTCTGTTAGTGTGACTTTGTCAATGGCCCAAGTCGGCCGAAACGTGTCGTAAGCTTTGTTTTTTATGTGCGGGTTATTTGTGAAAAGTTCCAGTCACGGTTTTGTCCCTTTTTTGTTATTTTTTCCTTTTTTCAATGATACCCTCCACAAACCCAAAACATTCCTTTTTTTACATCACCAACCAGGGCATCACACATACCGCAAAAGATCTGTTTTCTGGAAAATAAATCTCACTTTTCCACCATTTGTAACCTAATCGAGCCTTATTATTCACATCATGTTTTTTACTGCTTTATATAACTTCCCGCTTTCCATACGGGTGCAACATTTCCACTTGTTTTTTTTAAAAACCCCTCTCTATCATTTTAAAACCCAAAAAACTAAAAATAAAAAAATTCGTCCCCTTTAAAAGAATATTCCTTTTGGGTTTTCAGTGTAAGTAATTAGTATTTTTGTCTTAACCATAACAGCAAAAACTTTTACAATAAACTTTTACAGATTTTTCCCCCTAAAATTTTTACAGTTTTTTTTATCCCTTTTTCCCCCCAAAAACAGAGGAACTATGCTACTCTCTGCTATTTCTTAAAACCTTCCTTTTTTTTTCCCGTACATGTTGAAACACACCAACTGCTCAAAAACATAACCCCCCTTTTAAAAACGTTTTACCCCATTTATTCTGCTGTTTAAAATTCCCTTTTATTGCTTCCCCCTGTCTGTCCCCTCCAAAACCCAACATCTGGTTTTCCCTCACCCCTCGTTTCCCTTTCCTTTTTCAACTTTTAATAACATCTTAAAGCTTTTCTTCCCATTTCCTAGTCCCTCCAGTTTACTTTTAAGGTTCATTTTTTTTTTTGTAACATTTAAATAAAATTTTTCCAAGGCTTTTTTAACTTAGAGATGTCATGTACATCTTTTTTTATTTTTACCAAATTTTGTTAAAAGTCCCTCTTATCACTTTTTAAAATTTTTTTTACTCTCCATATACCCCTCATTTGTTTAAAACATCTAATTGCAGAAACCTTTCATTTCCCAATTTTTCACTTACTGTCAACCTCGTTTTCCCCCAAATTGCCCTCTTCCCCCCTGCACCCCCCCTCCACTCCCCTATATTTCTGCACTATATTTTTATTCATTTCACACTATACCCCCCGACCCCCTCACATCACCTGTACTCTCCTTCTCTGCTTTTTTTCGTAACAGTTGCTAATGCTTTTGATTCATTTAATTTTTAACTTACCTTCTCTCTTACCCACTGATAAATTCTCCTTGTAATCTATTATATTTTACTTTCACAAAAAGATGAATGATACGTCTGTCGGTTTTTTAAAAATAAAATACCCCAAAGTCTAACATCATCATTTATTACTAACCCATAATCCCCTCCCTTTTTTTTTAAAAAAATATATATATATAAATATATTTTTTATATATATATATAAAAATTAATATTTATTATATTATAATATATATATAATATATTAATTATATATGTATTTTTTGTTACCAACCTTTTTCCCATGCAATATTAATTAGGATTTCATAGCTTTTCCCCCCTGGTACTAAACATTTACCTACTACATTTTCTGCAAGAGTTTCCCCACAATAGTTGTTGGTCACCACAAAATTATTTTCTTTTCCGGTTCAAAATTTCCCCCTAATTCCGCCTAACTCCCCCTAAAAATTATGTCTTTCTTCCACTTTTTCTCTTCCTAGGACTAACATTCTATTAACA